TGCAACGCCCTGCACTGATGTGAGAGGTTGTGGCCTTAGAGCGTGGCCCTTATTGGGAACAGGGATGATTTTCCAGGTGGTACCAGAGCCTGGATGAAACCTCCTTGAAGGATGTGTAATGACAACAGCAAGGTGCCAGGTATTGCTCGGGGAATCCAAAGGGCAAGAACTAAGGAGCCTTTTGCCAACTGAATGCTGCTCTGAGGCCAAGCTTCCCAGCAATCTTCCGCGACTTTTTCCCACCTCAGCAACCTGAGATCTGGTACATTCCAGCCTATAATAGGGACACCCGTCAGCCCAGATTCTCAATGGAGAGGAAAAGTTCCATACAGAAGATGGCTGTTACTGCAGACCGCAGGGTCACCCCTCCCTGATAAAGCACCTAAAGCAGGGCCCTTGATGAGGGCCTTTGGGTTGCTTTGTACAGAAGTCGGTTCGTTGATGACATTGGAAATACGGGGAGCAGAGAAATAAAGTGGGGTTGGCCATGTGCTGGACGTGACGTCTGTTTAAAAACCTTGGGGTTTCCAGGAATGAAGTCACTTGGCAGCCACCACAGTTTTACTTGACTTGGACCCAGAAGAGTGAGGGCAGGTGACCAAAGTCTATGCTAATTCAGCCCACACTCCATGTAACGAACCTGCGTAAGAATCACTCGGAACAAACAAACCCATAGAACGCTGGGACCAAAGCCACGCACGTCTGTTAGGACAGGCGTTCCCTGCCTCGACACTGCTGACAGTTCGGGCTGGATAATTCTCTGTTGGGGGCCATTGGAGCCGGGGCTGTCCTGTTCATTGTAGGGTGTTGAGCAGAACCCCTGACCTCTGCCCAGTGGATGCCAGCAGAACCGCTGTCCCTGCCCTTGGCTCTGACAGTCACACATGTCTGCAGCCATTTTGAAATGTTCTCTGGGGGTCCAAGTCCCTCTCCCCCACCCCTACGTTGGGAATCACTACTCTAGAATCTCAACCCCTCAAGTGATTGATAAAAATTTAATCAGTTTATCAACCCAGACAGGAGGTTGGGGAAACTTGAGGGAAGCTGGTATCCTGAATACCAGGGTTCCCCGTGAGCCATTCCCAGCAGGACCTGGAGCTTCTGACCTGGAGACCATGCCCTGGGGAGAAGGAAGCACCGAAGCTTTAGAGGATTATTGGGTGCCTGAGCAGACTCTAATTCCAGCACCATGTGGTCCAGCAGAGGCCAGATGGTGGGGGGGGGGGGGGGGGGGACTCAGCCGGGGTGGGGGAGAGCATCGCGCAAGCCCAGTAGAACTTTGGCTAACCCTGCAGGCATCTGCCCGGAAAGGGGCTGGGACAGATATTCTCAGAAAACCGCAGAAGCCCCACCTCAGCTTCCTAACCACAGGATTAAGGGCCGGGATTGTAGCATGGCTTCCCCCCTGCTGCAAAGGTCAGTCTTTCTTCCCCTGACAAAGCCCGGCAGACATTAGGGAGATGATTCTCTGCGCCCACCCACTCTCCATCTCCTAAGCAGGAATACGGGAGGCGGGAAGGGTTACTGCAGAGGCTGCAGCCTTGATCCGTCGTGATCCTGGGTGCAACGGCCGTGCCCTTGGTCTGCAGCAATTGATTTGGCAAACATATTTTTCTCTTTTTTCTTTCTGCCCAGCCTTCCAGGAGCTGTTGACCGAACAGCCTCAGCTTAGCTTCAAGGTCGAGATAGAGAATCGAGACCTGGGCTCCCTGGGTTCAAAGTCCAGCTCCTCCCGATTATTAGTTGAGTGAAAGTTCGTCTTTCTGAGCCTCAGTTTTATAATAGCACCAGTGCCTGCTTCGTAGAGGTTTTGACTGTGAGCTGAGGGAACAGATTAAAGTGCCTGCCTCGTCACAAAAATGCCATCAGTAAATCACACGACTTTTACGTAGTAACTCTTTACTTCGATGGCCCCCTTCGTTCTGCCAGGATCTCAGCTTCCTTCACCTTTTCTTGTTCCCACCATGGACACCACACTGATCCACCCTGTGGAAAAGGAAGTGGCAAGCCCCCTGGGTACTTCGACGTGTGCGATAGGACCTGGGAAGTAAGCACCATGAAAAATACCTGGGGCCTGTGTATGCATCTGTGTTTCTGTGCTTCACGTCAAATGTCCTTCATGTAATCTATAAACGTAGTGTCCTCTTGTTGAAAACAATGCTTTGGGGGAGTGAGGGGAGAAGAGAGAATGGGTACTAGACTAGATCTGCTGAATTCTAAAGTTCTCAGGGAAAATAAACATGTAAGAAATAACCATGGGGACTTCCCTGGCGGTCCAGTGGTTAGGACTCCAAGCGTTCACTGCCGAGGGCCTAGGTTCGATCTCTGGTTGGGGAACAAAGATCCCGCAAGACTCGCTGCACGGCCAAAAAAAAAAGAAGAAGAAAGGAAGAAAAAGAAAGAAAGAAAGAGGAAATTTCTGAAAAAAGCAGAGTATTTACAGGGACATTAGCCCTCCCAGATGTTTAAAAGTATTATACAGTCACAATATGAAAGGCTACAGAAATGAAGACAGTGGTGCTGGGACATGAATAGACACATCAATGGAAGAAAACGAGTCCAGAAATAAATTGGTAAACATGGCAAAGCTAATCCGTGAGGAAAAGATGAATAAAGGCAATGAACAGTGTCGGGACTCTCTCCCTCCCGGCAACAAAATAAATGCCAGCTGGATCAGAGATTTAACAAATGTAAATGAAACTATAAATGTACCAGAAGAAAACACAGGGGAGTTAAAAAGAAATTATCTTGGGGCTCGCGCCTGCGCGGTCTGCGCCAACCCGCGGGCTGCTCGGAGGGACGGAGGGACGCGCCCGCTGGGAATCCTCGGGACCAGCGTGTGGGGAGGTTCCCTCCCGCCCAGCCGTGAATGAGGGATTACCATCCCAAAGAGCTCATTTTTTTTTCTTGAGGTGTTCGGAGTTAGTCCCACACCACAGATTTTCACTGTTTATTTTTATTTAGAAGCCAGCCTGTTCTCCTGATCAACTGTTAGCATAATTGCTAACCCTTAGACGCTGAATGATTTACGGTGATGAGAGTGGAGGAAAGGGTGAAAATTATGGTGAGAGCAAGGCGACCATGTACACTAATGTGATTAACAAGTATGTTAAAGTTTGCATTTTGTTTGCTTGTTGTTTGAGTCGAAGATACTGTGACAGATTGGACCCCTGAATTTTTAATCATATAAACTGAATAGGATACATGCGCTTTGGAGTCGGGTAAAATCTTCAATCCAGACCCTCCAACTTGCTGCATAACTGTGACTTTGGGTCACAGTTAAATAACTGCTCTGAACCTGTTCCTCCTTTGCTTAAAAAAAGAAAGAAAAAGAAAAGAAATTATCTTGTAATGGGGAAGATCTAAGAGGGGGAAAGAAGAAATCCAGCAGTGATGAAGATAAAGTTTGATAAATTTAAATTAAAATTTAGATTTTCTGCAAGGCAAAAAGAAAAAAATTAAATAAAAAAGATAAATGACAAACGGGAAACGATTTACAACTCATGACAGACACAGAGGTCATCAACAAGATAAAAAGGACAGAGTAGGTAAATAGAAAAGGAGTCAAGCAGACGGATCACAAAAGAAGCGGTAGAAATGACTTTTGAGCATCAAAAGATGCTTCTCATCATTTATAATCAAGGAAAGCAAATTGAAACAACAATGTAGCCCCATCAGTACCTATTATATTAGCAAAGATCAAAACTGATAATAGACTAGACACGTATATTAGTAGCCACAGTCAACGTCCCCTGCATCTCCCCATGCTCTGAGTACTTCCACGCATACCAGCCAACTTCCCACTGCCAGCAGTCTTCATGTCCGTGCCGAAGGCTGGAAGTGCTGTCAGGAAATTATTGCCATCAGCACACTCCTCAACCAATGACTGATGGGACTTGTATGTACACGCTCCCAGGGTGTCTCCAGCTCCAGGCGCCCATAGAGCAGATGGCTTGCGCTTCTGCCTTCACCATGAGAAATGCATGCCCTGGGCAGCCTACCCAGCAAAGAAACATGGGGAACAGACTAATCCCAAAATGACCTGGAGCCAAGTCTGGCCAAACCTCAGCAGAAGCAGAGTCAAATGAGCAAAAAAATAAATGCTGTTGTTCCAAGTCAGGGTTTTCAGGTGTTTATTATGCAGGATTATGGTGACATAGCTGACTGATGCAGTGTTATGACAGATAGATCTAGCCCAGGGTGATATACATGTTATGTTTCTACTCCCTTGTTGATGACACTTGCATTACTCCAGGTCTTCCTGTTATAAACAATCAGCATCCCTAGATGTGTCTGTGCAAATGTGCTGGAACTTCCTTAGGATGTATGTCTCCATGTAAAGAGCAGAGTTCTGGGTGATGTTTACTTTCAACATCACAAGATATTGCCCAATGGCCCTCCAAAGAGATTGTTTACACTCCTACTAACATTATATGAACTCCTGGACTTCATCTGTTATTCAGCCTTTTTTATTTTTTCAATCAGATAATGTGTGTGAAATGGTATCTTGTTTTAACTTGCATTTCCCTAATAATCACTGGTGAGCCTGACTCTCTCTTCATGTTTGTTGACCATTTGGGTTTCCAATTCTCTAATGTGCCTGTTCATATTGATTGCTTTTCTATTATCTTTTTTGGGGGGGTATTTTTCCTATTGATTTATATAATTTCTTTATGTATTTTAGCTACAAGTCCCCCTAATCCTAGAGAATCTAGTGCCAGGAAGAGAGAGGGAAGAAGACAGTGTGTTTGGAGGGGATGGTGGTGAGATAAAAAACAGCCCCATCTTTTCTACTGCTCTTTGAAACCATCGTTAAACAAATGAAAAGCTAATCACAAATTAAGAAAAAATATTTGCAATGCACATATTTGTCAAAGGACTTGTATCCTGAATATATAAAGGGCTGAACAAAATATAAGTATATAAAGAATATAAAGAATTCAACAATAAGACAAACCCAGTTTTTAAAAGTGGGCAAATAATTTGAACCCACACTTCACAACAGTTTTTTCATTTTATTATTTGTATCTCCCAGTTTTGCAATCAAGTCATCCTTGGTTCTAGAGTGCCTCTGGGTTAACACTGCAAAGGGACCAGCTGAGCCCATTTTATACAGACCCTCATGAGACAGTACAACTGTGAAATCATCTGTGGCTCCCTCCATCTCTTACTTTAACTCTCCGTGTGACTGAGTCTCGTTTCCTCATCTGTATAATGGAGAAACCAATACCTCCATCTCTGAGGCATGGAGAGAATCAAATAAGATTAAAAATCACTTTGATAAAGGGCAAAGATATATACTCTCATTGCAGGGGTCCTAGTTTTAGCTCAAGTTGGAGGACGGCACCAGCCTGGAGTTGATGGGCCCAGAGCGGGGGCGCTGGAAGGAGATGGAAATAACTGAGATCAGCCCTGGGAAGGTGAGCAGGGAGGACTGCCCAAGGCCCGGTGGTGCCCAAGCCTAGGCCCTTGGATTTGTCTGACTCTGGCGGTGGAAAGAAGCTCAAGGTAGCCTATGAAACAAGAGTTGGGTACTTTGGTGTCCAGGTGGGACCAGGTGAGGAGAGGCATTCTCCGCTCAGCCCAGGAAACGCGGCCTTTTTGGCCCCGGGATAATTCAGTTTCGGGAGTTGGCAGAGCACCTCAGTGGAGGCGCGCACGGACGACCCCTGGTTGTCGGCGAGGCCTCCGCGGTGTCACCGGGAATTTGCCCCAGGAGATACCCTGGGTGGGTGTCATGAAATGCTGGGTGAGCCCTCAAGGCGGGAAGAGACTCCGACACACGGATCATTAGCATTACCGTGGTCCCTTCTGTCCGCACGTGCGCACAAACCCCGGGCTGCGCTCGGGCGGTCAGACTGCTGCGGCGCAGAGCCGGGGACGGAAAGGGCCTTACGAATCCGCCAGTGGAGGAGGAAGACTAGGCCACCGTCGGCCCGGAGCGCCTGCGAGTGCTTCCTCCCAGGCCACACAGCTAAACTAGCACTATTAAACACAAACAAAGAAACAAAGCCCCCCCCCCCCCCCATCCCCCACAAAAAACAAAAAAAACCCCAGCGCTGTTAAACTTCTACGAACGAGTCCCGGTCAGGTGAGAAAAGCGCGCGACTTCCGGCGGAGGAGGCGGTGTAACACCACTGCTTCCGGCCGCTGCGCCTGCGCCTGCGCACTGGGAAACTGCGCCTGCGCACTCGGTGCTGGCTGCCTGCTGGGGGAATTTAGCAACGGCTGGAGACGAGTGGGCGCGGAGGACCTGCTGACTGTCGCTACCGGAGGTCGCCCAGGAACCTGGACCGCCCACCAAGCTCTGCAGGGCCCTTGGCGCCTCAAGGTAGGTCCCGCTGCGGTGCGGGGGTGGGAGCAAGCGGGGCGGCGGATGGCTTGTGCTTACTACCCGCCGCGGGGGCGCGGTCGGCCGCCGTGGGAGCTGCGCCGGCTTCACAGCTTCGCCAGCCCCACTAGCCAGCCAGACCTTTGGCCCTAGGTAAGCCGGGGAGGGGGCGTTGTGGTCACAGACGTAGACTTGGGGGCGAGGCGGCTTTCCCTGACCTGCCCTGCCCATCGGGCGGCCCAGGTGTCCCCCTTCCAGCTTCCCTCCCTTTCCCAGTGCCCCGCACCTGAAACACCCGGTGAGGCCAGAACTGGACAGCGGCTCGTATCCGTCACTCACTCTGTGCCAAGAAGTGTCTTTAAACACTGCTGCTGTATGCGTACATTAACTCCATTAATTTTTCACAAGCCAGCGAGGTGGATGCTTTTATCCCTGTCGTATAGGCTCGGAAACCGAGGCACGTAGCAGACGAACACAGCTGGTGGGTAGCAGCCAGAATTTAAACCCCCATAGACCGGCTCTGGACTAAGTGCTCTCAATCCATTGTGGAGAGCAGCCTCGCAGAAAAGAGCAAAGGGTTCTGCTGGTTTAAAACATCTCATTTTATGTCACTTTTGCATATTGTGAAATCTAATGAAGCTTGGTTATTTAAAATCTCTCCCTTAGGGTTTAAAAGTAGCCAAATTTGCATGTGGGACAAAACCCCAAAATGTGTAGTGGTTTGCTACTCTTTTTCTTCCACACATTCCTCTGGTCCCATGCTTTTCTTCATCTTCCATCTCCTCATAGGTGAGCGGGTGGGGGAATGAGAAGCCGAGGACTTGTAGGCTCACCAAGTGCTTTGAAGTCTCCTGGGGTCTGGTGGATAGACAGGCACCACCTCCTCCTCCCCCCTGCCAGTGCAGGGGCTGAGAGAAGAGGGTGCTGGTAGAACTGGGCAGAGTGAAAACTCGGAGAAAGGTCTGGCATAGGTATCGAATGCCCAGGGTGGACTGAGCTCTGCATGAGGCCCTAGGGTGAGGCAGGCCCAGGAGAAACAGAAAAGTGACCACTGTGCTTCTGGGCATGCGTGTGGGAAAAGGCCTGGTGAGCGCAGTGAGGAGGAAATCTCTAATCCACGGAGCCAGCACACGTGTAAGTGCTGAGGCACTTCCTGTCTCAGGCTCAGCCAGCAGGTTGCTAACCCCTCGGGAATCTATAGGCTCTTGGGCATAACTGCCTTGGGCCCTCCCTGTGCCCACACTCAAGGACCTGCCTGCCACCATAGCCGTCCATCTTTGCTGTGTCAGGAAAAATAAAAAACCTTTCTCATCTGCAAGGATAAACCCACCCACCTGTGCCTTGAGTCCCTCTCCCTCAGGAACTCCTGCCATCAGTCCTCCCTTTCTTCGCACTGTACCTTTTCTCTCTTTTGAGACAGAGCCAAGCCTTTTCCCTCCCACCCCAAAGCGTGACCCTTTGACGTAGCAAGTGCCTGCGTCCCCTGCTTCTCATTGCATAGCCCCGGGGCTCCACTTGCTTCATCTGCTGAAGGGACCCTGTCTGTCCTTTCTGGAAAGTCTTCCCTTGGCTTCCCTAACATTACTTAGGTTTCTCTGTCCTCTGTCTGTCAGGCATCTTTGGAGTCTGCTCATCCTCTGCCCTGCCCACAGTGTCAGTGTTGCCTGGGCAACCACCCTCCACTCTCTTCTCCCACTGGTGTTTCCCCTCAGTTTCTACGGAGACTTTTACACAGATCTGTATCTTTAGCTCAGACTTCTGTCCCCTGACCCTGTATCTGTCACATCTACTCCTGAAGATTTTTCCAGAAGAACCTTAAAATCACTATATCTGTAACTGAACTGTATTTAGCAGGGACTGGGGTGTCCCTCTGTATCCCCTCCTCCTCCACACCGCAGCCCAAGTATCATCTGCATGGCTCTCCAGACTGTCCCTTCCCCTCCAGTCCCACCTCTGTTACCTGCTCCTGCCCTCCTCCCCACCTGCTTCCCAGGGCTGCACCTGCCGCCTGCCTCGTGTGGTCCCACCTGATGCAGCCCCGGAGTCTCCACCTTGTTGCTGTATCAGGTGTGTGTATCAGCTCTTATGAGAAGTGTCACAAACAACTTCTTACCAATAATCAAAGTCCTGGAGTCTGTGGATGATTTTCTTTTTAAATTTTGCATTTTAGATTCGTGTCGACTCCAGGCTGGCTCTCCACAGCATCCACCCCGCTGTCATCCTGATGTGCTTCAGTGAAGAGCAAGGGGTGCCGGTCATTGCCCAAGACCCCAGACCTGCCCCAGGGACTGTCGGGATGAGGTTCCTCAAGCAGTAGCCTGGGGTAAGCGACCCTGCCAAGGCAGAATCTAAACTCCCGTGTCATAGACTCGATTTGCCTCTCGGTCAGCCCGTGGCCTGGCTCCACAGCACTTACCCTGCTTGCCTTGCCCTGGTGTCAGGAGCCGTTTGCAAGTTGTCTTCTCGTCCTGAGCCCCACGTGCCAGCCGGGCAGTGACTATCCTGTTTGTATGTTTAGGGCGCGGTGCTGGCTCATGGTAGATATTTGACGAAGTATTGCTAAATGGTTGAGTGGCTCAAGGGTATCTGCAGAGCACAGTGGGCTGGTGGGACAAGGCTGATCAGGGAACAGAACAGGGTTGGGGCCCTGGGTTCAGTTAGCGCGTCCTCAGGCGAAGGCTTTGGGGTGTAGCCCAGGCTGCAGCCTAACTCACAGGTATTTTCTTTTTCTCTGCCCTCATCAGTGAGAGCAGGTGGGACATAGGCCTGGTTTCAGTACCGTGTTCTGTGTTCTCGGGAGCAGCGAAGCCTGTGGACTGCTCTGGTCCTCCGCTCTGCCACCGAGCATCACGTTGCTGCTCTGGGTTTCTGTTTCTTCAATCAAGATAAGAGCGAAGGTTAGTCCCCTCTGGCTCTGACATCTAGAGCCCTTCCCCTGGACCACGACGGTGTCTTGTGCTTCATTTACCCCTTGATCCAGCCCCTCCACCGCGTCACCTCCCGTGAGCTTCAGACCCCTGGTTTGGTGGTGGCTGACTGGGTCGTCGAGTGATGGGCTTGGGTGGTTGCCTCTCGGTTCTTCCGAGGCCCCTGTGGCTGGAAGGGGCTCCTCGGTGTCGCGTTGTCCACCCTGGTTCACAGCCGAGTCTCGCTTGAGTTGCCCAGCGGGCTCGTCCCCAGTAAAGGCCGTCCTGCCATCCCTGGTGATCCTTCTGAATGTTTACCATCACTCAGTGTCAGAATGTTGTGGTTTAAACCTCCTCATTCAAGCTGCGTCTCGCTCTGGTCTGAAGAGACGCACGCTGCTCACTCTCAGCTGTTTGGGGCAGGATCTGCGCCACCTTACTCTGAATCTTCTCTTTCCCGAGGAGACACAGCCTAGCTCACTGGGCTTTTCCTTCCCTCTCATTTGCTTTTCTTTTTTCCGCATGTTTCTCCTCTGACTTCTTCATGTGTCTTTTCTTTGAGAGCCCTGGATTTGACCTCATCTGCAGGAGAATGAACGGGGTGGGGAAGGGAGTCGAGGACTGTGCTGAGGTGTGCGGTCTGAGCATCTGGGTGAACAGGAGTCCTGTGTACTGAGCTCGAGTTGACTCTAGGCCGAGCAGGTGAGGGGAGGCCTGCGAGGGAGTCGTGAGCCGAGAGGGGCTGGCGGTGCTCAGCCGGTGAAGGTGGCCCTGGTCAGGGAGAGGGTGTGGGAGGAGAGACGAGGCCTGGAGACGAGGAAGCCCAGGAAACACCATTAAGGGGCGGGCAGAGGAAGAGGGACTAGAACAGAGACTGAAAAGGAGTCGCAGGTGACAGGAAAGCTGAGGAGATGTGCTGTCCCGTAGCTGCGGGTAGCAGCATTCCAGGTGGGGGGCGTGGGCAGGTGCTGTAGTGCGGAGAAGCGCGCTGAGGCGGGGCACCGGGGGTCCCTGGGGCCTCAGCGGGAGCACTTCAGGGAGCAGCAGGGGCCGCAGCCAGAGAGGAGTGGGCTTCGAGGGGAGGGGGCGCTGGGGGCCTGCGTCGCTGGCATCAGGAGCTGCCCCGTACCACGTGCTCTGACAGAGGCTCGGGAAGCCTCGGGCCGCGTTGCTCCCCGCTACCGAGCGACGTTGCCTGTTTATGAGGCCCTGCGGGTGCCAGGCACGGCCCGGGTGCCCAGGACGCAGAGACTGGCCTCCACAGCCCCGTGGCCTGTGCTGACAGCGCCAGCGTCCGCAGCTCTTCCCGGGAAGCCTGCCTGACGTCTTGGTGAGGTCCCTCCCGCCGCGGTCCCCCAGCCCTGCAGCGCCCCTGCACGCCCTGCACCTCGGCTCTTGTCTTCCCTGCCGTGTGTGGGGGGGCATTTTATTCTCATCTGCCCCCCGCCAGCCTGAGGGCCACGTGCACACAGGGGCCTGGCCTACCTTATACTGTATCCATCGCACAGGAAGACTGCCAGTGCCTACCAGGCTCTGGATAAACATTGAAGGAAAAAAGAGATGTGAGTTAACGTGGCAAAGAGGATGGACACAGAAACCACTCCTGTGCAGAGGGCTGGGGGCTCCGGTCGAGGGCTGCTCCGTTGGGTCTGGAGGAGTGAATGTCAGGCTTCACCCAGGAGGTGGCGTCTGGAGAGTTTTGTCCTGGGATTGATTTCATATGGTTACTACGCCTTACATCCTCTGCTCTCTTCTCTCCCCTCCGGCCTCACTGTCCCGTCAGTGGGCCCCGAAGTGAGTAGGCAGCTGGCTGAGAGCCATTCTCTTCATCTTGCCTTAGATCTTGCCTTGTCTTCTGTCACCTTGCCAGAGGACAGCCTGGGCCTGCCTTAGATCTTGCCTTGTCTTCTGTCATCTTGCCAGAGGACAGCCTGGGCCTGTCTTCTCATTGCCCCAAGCTCCCAGGCGCGTCAGAAGTCGGAAAAGTCAAAAAGCCCCACAAGAAACACACACTCTGAGGATCCACGGGGCAAGAGCCCCCTGTGTGTGCTGACTCCTCCGTGATCAGAGCCAAGACCCACCTGCCACGCTGGCTTCTCCTGGCTCCAAGTTCAACACCGGAGCTCTCAACACCCCTTCTGAACTTGGCCGGGGCGCCAGGGAGCACCTGCCAGAGGCTGAGGTCAGACCTGAGTTTGTACGCGCAGGGGAGGAGGCTGCAGTGGACCCGGGAGAATCAGAAGCCCCGGCTCCCAAAGGAGGAGTGGGAGGGACCTATCCCTGCAGGGGAAGAGACCAGCCTGCGCCTCGGCAGCAGCCTGCGGGTCCCAGCACCTGACCAGGCTTTCCTGGAGGAGCAGGAGGAAGGCCTCCTGTGGCTGCGTGTCCGCAGTGAGAAGAGAGCAGCCTGCCCTGGAGAGGCCTGGTCTTGGCCTGGCTGCCCCCTGTGCAAATTGCCACCCCAGTGCTGGGCAGGATAAGCCAGAGGGAGACTCCGGACACTGTGGCCTCCAGTCCGTGCTGGGGCAGGAGCCCCCGGTGCAGCCTGAGAAGAACGTGTCCAAGTGGAAGGCGAGAGGAGGGGGAGCTGGCAGGAAGGAAGTCGAGGGACCCAGAGCTCAGCTGCAGTTCGGTCGCCTCTGACTTGCTGCTGCTCCAGGCAGCCAGCCCGGACAGGCTGGAGGCAGGCCAGCCTGGCGAGGATGAAGCGGCGAGGCCAGCCGACATCCTCATAGCCGATCTGGCCGGAGAGGCGCGTCACCTCAAGACACGGAAGAAGAGGTGCTTGCTTCCTGGGGAGGACCGCGCAGGCCGAGGCCAAGGGCTGGGCTCCTGGGCACTCCCTGGGCCCCCTGGACACCCTGGGTCAGAGACCGTGCCTGACGTGAGACGTTTCTTTACCATCAACTGCAGGAATGTCTGCCGTGTCACGTGCACTCTGCCGCCGAGCATCAGACAGGGCAGGATTAAGGGGCGGTCCCAGCCTTCAGCTCTGGTCTGCCACCTGGCAGCTAAGCGCGGGCAGGAGGTGGGGAGGAAGCCAGCTGCAGCCGGCCCTGGGGGGGAGCGGGGAGGGGTGCCCGAAAAGAAGCAGAAGGACCTGCCCACGGGGGCTCCAGCCGTGCCCCGAGGAGCTGCATTCACCATGCTGCCGCCGGGCGCCTCACCTCTGGAAGATGGTGACGGACAGGTGGGCCCAAGCAGCTGGTACAGGTTTGGCCTCCCCCGCCTACTCCCACCGACGGCAGCTGGGGAGGACTGAGGTGGCGTATGTGCCCCCAGCCAGCTCCGAGCACGGGCCTGGAGCCAGAGCGCTGCCGAGTTGCCCTGCAGCCCGGCGCTGCCCCTCTCCTTTGTCTTAGCCCCGCTCTTCAGGAGGTTTAGGGCCCAGGTGGACCATCGCTACCGCCTGCCGTCTCCAGCCGCCATCTCCTGTGAAGCCCTGCCCCTGCTGCACGGGGCGATGGGCGAGCAGGTGCTTCGGGATGCAGTGGGCCGAGGGCAGCTGCGTCCACCTCACTGTTTCCGTGGCAGCCCGGGTCACCGCCCACTGTGGGGTGACGCAGCCGGGTGGCCGGCAGGTGGCGTCAGGCAGCCCGAGGAGGCAGGCCACGCCTGGGTCCGACACCTGCCCCTGGACAGGGCTGCGGAGATGGGCCGCGGGAGCTGCAGGGGCCGCTCAGCCTCTGTAGCTTGGCCACAGCTCTGTGCCTGGGCTTCCTGGTGTCGGGCGGCTGCCCGAGTCTGGAGCAGGCTGTGAGGACGGGGGGCTACACCCATGCCCCTCGCTTCACCCACTGCCTCGACTCCCTGGTGGGAAACTTCTGTGTCACCAAGATAGTGTCCAGATCATGCTGGGCACGGCTAGGGCCATCTGCAGCCACTTCCAAGGCTCTGCGGAAGCCCGGCAGCTCCTCCCAGCTGCAGTGGCAGCGCGGCCTCCCAGCCCACCAGCCCTTCTTGGGGCTCTCGCATCCCTGGGTGTCCGCCTACCACTTGCTGGAGTGGCTGGAGAAGCGGCAGCTGGGGAAGGCAGGGGTGGCCCTGTCGGCCGTGTTGCGGAGCCTGACGGACAGTCTGGTCAAGCTCCCGCAGCCCTTCTGGATGGTGGTCCGGGAGGCGAGCGCCGCACAGGCCGCCTTAAGCCTGGTGCTGCCCCAGCTGTGCTACCTGCACATCTTCCTGGCGCAGGTTCGGGGGCGCTTTGAGGAGCGGAGCACCGGGGAGATGGGCGCGGCCGTGCGGCTGGCCGAGGGCCTGGCCCTGCAGCTCTCCACAGACCACCAGCTCCCTGAGCTCTTCCACCGTGAGGAGTTCGTGCTGGCGACCCTGCTGGACCCCGCTTCAAGGGTAGGATAGAGGCTGCCCTCCCCGAGGGGGCCGACATCAACCATTGGAAGCAAGTTCTCGTGTACGAGGTGAAGGAGCTCGTGGTGTCTGAGTACTCCTGCCGCCCTCCCCTTCCCTGCAGGGCCCCACTGCTGTGCGTGTGGACGCCCCTGAGCCGTGCAGGAGCCAGGAGCCCTGGGGCCGAAGGGAAGGGCCGGGAAGCGCCCGAGCAGAGAAGCGGGACCTCTGGGTCCTTGCTGCTGGGCCAGAGGGAGAGGAGCCTCCTGGAGCAGGTGGAGAGCAGGGGGGCTGCTGGTCTCGGAGAGGAGCGGTGCTTCCCTCTCCACGGAGAGCCACCTGGTCATCATCATCCGCAAGAAGTACCTGCGTGAGAATGAGACAGTGGGTGCCCAGGAGGACCCCCTGCTTACTGGCAGAAGCAGCGGGACGTCCGGCCAGACCTGGCGAGACTGGCCACCATCTATCTATCCTGCGCCCTGACGGGCGCCTTCTCTGCAAGTGTCTTTGCGTCCCTGGGCGGCCCCGCCATCGTGGAGCATGACTCCCCTCTCCCAGGGGAGATGGCTGAGCGTCTTCTCTTCTTGAAGACCAACCTGGAGCATCTCCCAAGCTACACCCACGCCCTTTATCTTCCCCAGCAGGGACCTGGCCGAGGCGCGCAGGCCGGTGAGTCTGACCGCAGGGTCCGATGCCCTGAGAAGCTGCCTGTGGGAAGTCTGCGTAGATGACGGGAGGGAGCACAGTGTTGCGTCCTAGGACATTAGACGGGGACAGCCAGGCTCCAAAACTTGTTTGAAAGGAATGAGGACAGTTTCTCAGTTCTTGACAGATCGTCATGTTCGTTTTCGCGGAGATGTCATCTTCCATCTGCCCACTGCTGGAGTCACTGCCGGCAGTACGTGGGTGGGAGGGCGGGCTCTGGTCATCGGTGACTCTGAGTTGTACCGCGCAGCGTATGGACCGCGGTGCTCCTTGAAAGTGTCGCTGGGTGAGGGGCCCTACACGCGGCTTGTCCGTGTGTGTCGGGGCGGCAGGCCCTCAAGGTCTGTGTTCTCAGCGGCCAGGCGCTGTGCGGGATATCCTCAGCCACCTAGGGCCTGGGGAAGCCGTGGACACTCTTCCTGGAAAGGAAAGAAACCCTAACATGATGGAGGGCGGTGCCCACACGCACACCGGTCTTCTTAGGGTCTGTACTTGCCCGTGGATCCCGGGGTTCCCAAGAGCCCTGGTGGAGGGCACCGCCCAGCTCCCGCGGGCGTGTGATCGAGGAGAGCTGGGACGCCCAGTCATCACGTGGCCGTTGTCGCCTGTAGTTTGTTTCCAGACTACTGGAGGCCTTGGGGTTTCTTCTTTCTACAGTGAAAGCAGTCTGAGGAAGCAAGAAAGGGCAAGTATCCCAGTGACTGAGCGGCCTGAGTTCCTTTAGGGTCGAGTGCAGGACCTGAGGGCATGGGGCCCAGGCTCTGGTGGGATCAATGGGAAAAGAAGGAAGGGTGAGGCCAGAGCGTTTGGGGCGGGGCTCGTCACACCCAGAAGACACAAGTCCAGCTCCGCTGAGGTGCTAGGCCACTGGGAGAGGGACTTTGAGAGGGAAGGGGGGGTGTAGAGGCACTTTGGCCCTGGCTGTGCGGTTGAGCCCGGGAGCCTGTCCCTTCGCTTCCCCTGTGTCACTGTGACTAATTCACTGTAGGACGTTCGGAAGTTACTGAGAATGTAAGGAAGCAGGAAAAATTCACCGTAATCCTTTCACTCAGCCTCTATGAAAACTTTGACGTATTTCCTTTTTTCCTTGAGGTCATATCCTCTGTGCTAGTTAGTATGCTGTATTTTCAGTTTAACACTGTAACGTGGCATTTTCTTGAATAAGGCTTTATACAGATCGTGTTTAGTGGTCGGAGCACCACGATAGGAAGTGAAGTCTCACCTCCACGCTGCTCAGGTCGTGTCTTCTTCCCCAGCTGCTGCAGGGCATGTCTGCACAGGCTCCCTGTGAGGAGAGGCCGGCGCGCCTGGGGGAGAGGCTGGGACTAGGGCTGCGCTCCCTTAACGTCTGGACTCTGCATCCAGTGCATTGGGGTGGTGAGATCAGGGCCTGGCCCTGGACCTCTCCCTGTGTCCCTGCCTCCCTTCCTTAAATTGCACGTGGGTCTCAGACTTCAACGAGAATCACCTGAGAGCATCTTAAAACTGAGGCGTCCTGTCCATCCCTCGCAGGTTCGGGTGTAGTAGGTCAGGTGGGGGCAGGGATGTCATGTGCCCTAACTAAAGCAGTCCAGGGGGCCGTGTATTGGTCAGTGCTGCCACCCCTCGAGCTCCTCCTGGGAGAGGCACTGTCCCCTTGCTGTGTGGCCTCCCCTCAGCGGCTCTCCTTGTTCTCGGGGAGGGGAGGCCTGGACCAGCGAGGCACCAGGGTGGGGGGGTGTGAGGAAGACGAGGGCAGTGAAAGGGAGGCGGTGAGAAGCTTGACGGTCCTGAGCTTGGGGGCTTGGGCTCTGGAGAGGTGGCTCTCAACCGGGGGCAGTTTTGTCCCCCAGGGGCCATTGGGCAACGCCTAGAGATGTTTTGGTTGTCACAGCTTGTGGGGGGATTGCCACTGTCCTCCCGCGGGTGGAAGACAGGGACGCACAGAGGAGCCTCCGCAGCAGAGACTTAGCCCGGCCCCAGGTGGCAGCAGGGCCGGGTCCGAGGACCCTGCGCCCGGTTGTGGTCGGGAGGGAATGGGGCGGAGGAAGGGGCCCCAGTTCACCGAAGCGGCCCGGTGACTGTCCACCTGAGGCTGCTCCGAGCTGAACCATTTCTTCCCTAGACTTGGCTCTGCCCTGCCCTGGCGACTCACGGCATCCTCTTCTGGCCCATTCCCTACATAGGTAAACTGAGACTCAGAACTGCTGGCTCTGAACAAGGGAAGATGGGCCTCCCCCCGGAGATCCGGAGTTACCTGTTTCAGTCATAGCCTTGTCTTTGTGACCGAGTCCTTTTCACAGACACACGTTGAGCCAGTGCCTCTGTTCGCTCATTTCCATAAGAGGACCAGGGTGATTCTGGTTTTTTAGAGGAACGTTGACGCCGTTGCATGTGGACGAGCCGTTCTCGCATTGCGCGGAGCCTGCTGGCCGCTGCTGGCCGCTGCGTTGGCTGGGTTTGCACAGGCGTGTGGGCCCCGGCCTGGTTGAAGTGTGCAGATTTGAGGTAAAGTGGGGCACAGGAGCGGAGCAGAGGTCATGGACACGCTGGAGAATCAGGGTTTGACTGCGGTGCTGTTCATCTAACTGCAGACAAGGGCGTGGGACCCAGGGCCGAGGGCACAGAGCCAAGTGCTGGCGGGGCACGTGTCTCCTGCCAGATGGGACCTTGGGGGCACAGGAGGCCTGATGTCCAGTCCCAGTGCCATCTTCCCGCACCCCTGTCCTCTTCCGCAGAACGTGGGCACGCGCACACCGTTCTCTGCCCGCCCCCTTGTTCTTTCTCCCCTTTGCGCACCACCTCCATCCCCATCGCTGGCGGGGTTCCTCAGGGTACCGCTTCCCCCACAGCCCGTCGCCCGGCGGCGGCGGGGCATTTGGACACGGGGCTGGTGGCTCTTCCTGGAGGCCTGGCGTGTTGTCCTCCCCACCCCGGCTGCTCAGCGGTCCCCTCCGTTCAGCCTCGAGCATGTGGGTGTTGGCCCGACTTCAGCCCCTGGCTGTACCCCAGGGCTCCCTGACCGCTTTCACCCCCAGCGTAGTGGCTGGGAGGATGTGCGCGCCCCTGGAGAGAGGCCCGCAGATACTTGGAGAGGTGGTGTCCCCCGAGGCTGGCCCGTTGCGCCTCGCTCTCACAGACGGTGCCTGGACCCCGTCATCCTGGACTCGCCGCTGCCTCCTGAGGCCGATGCCACAGGACACCCCAAGTGCAAGACGGGAGCCCGGCCTCCAGTCACATGGCCAGGTTCCGGGCACACGTTCTCCTCCCTCCTCGCCCTCAGGCGGGGTCCTCGTCTCTGGCTATCTGGCTAGTGCTTTTATGGCCCATCTCTGGTGCCCGGTGCCCTGTGGGCCAGAGCAGGTTTAACCAACGTGGAGGTGACTGCATCGCTCGCTGCTTACAAACCCAGCAGGTGCTTCCCCAGAGTGACCAGGTTTCTTAGCGGGTACCTCCATGCCTTTTGGACAGAAACATTGGTAGAAGTGAAGGAGGAGCTGGGCTGCTGAAGACTGGAGGGGGCTGGGGAAAGACGTAGGGCTCCTTCTCAGAGACGGTGGGGGTCAGACGTGTTAGCAGCCTCACCAGCGTCCTGGGGCGTGCGGGAGGAGCTCTGGGTCTGATTTCCTTGGAGGGGTTCTGAGGAGCGGCGTTGCTATGGAAACGCAGCCTCGGGGCCTGGCGGGGGCTCTGGAGCCCCAGGTTTTGTAAACAGCAGGAGTGAATGGCTCCTTGTTTCTCTGCAGGCCTCAGCCAGCCCGGCCTGCGCCCGGCCAGAGTCTGTGGGGTTGGGGAGCTGCCACTTGGAGCCGAGGTCTGCTTGTTTTCCTCTCCTAGACCCTGAGCCTTCTGCGCTTGCTCGCATCGCCGGCGTCCCTCCCCCTGGCCTCCTGCCTCGCGCTCTTGTCTTGCACTGACACCTGGGTTTCTGCCACCCCACGGCCACTGGCGACTAGAAAGTACCCTCCCTCCCCTTTTCTGGATCCAACATAGGTGCCACCCTGCCCCTCCCTCCAGGACGGCTTCCTTGACTGCCCGGCCTCCCCTCCCCAGCCCCCCTTTGCCCGTGTTTGCAGCTGGAACCATGCTGTCTGGCTGGCAGCGATGGGCACTGTTCTGTTGGTGCCACAGTGAAGAGCTGGTATTGACAGGCAGGTTCGGGGAGCAAAGGTGAGGGGCCTGGCAGTGCAGCCACTTACTCCCTGTGCCTCCGCTGTCCCTCCCCTCCCTCGACCTCAGTTTCCTCATCAAGGACTGAAGGCTGAGCCCTCAGGCCCCACAGCTGCCACCAGAGGTCACAAGTTGGCCCATGGAACGTGGAAACCACCTTGAATTCATTGCTGATTTTTTAAAAAAATTGTCAAGAAGGCCCAGGTGCTCTCATTTGTGTTTGCCAATGCATGGGTCTCCCAGGAAGGAAACGAGATTGGCGATGATGGTGACCTGTTATCTCTTCAAAAATAAGTGTAAATGGTTAAAAGGAAACACCTCAGAGTTAATACAGGTAATCGTGAGCAGTTACGAGAAAGGAAAGTAATGAGATTGTGTCGCCGGAGCAGATTTGGGAGACGGGAAGAATTGGTAAAGGCGGGCCTGAATCCCATCCAGCATGGCCATAACCGCCAGGGCCGAGTCAGGACCCCCTTAGGCAAGGGCCTGTGCCTGGCCCACCTCCCTCGGAGGGGCTCTTGACCCTCCTGTGCCCTGGACTCTTGTCCTCAGGTCCCGCCGGGCCGTCTAGGTCTCTGGCCCTGGCGGTGGAGGCTGGGCGGTCACTGAGGTTCTCAGAGGCCCGCTTACTCTTTGACTGTTTCTCCTCAGGGACCTGCTGGCCCTTGAGCGGGGGTGTCGGAGACAGGCGTCCAGCCCAGGCCGAGTGGACGGGGCGTCCTTTGGGGTGAGCAGCCCGCTGACCGCCAGTGGCACCTGCGTCACTGTGACGGAGCTGCCGGGGCCCCGGCCACCGGGACCCACTTCGTCTCATGGAGCCTCGGGGTGAGAAGTCGGGAGAGGCCGACGGGGTGCGCGTCACCCCTCAGCTGCTCAAGGCGCGCTCGGGTGAGTTCGCCCTGGAGTCCATCCTGCTGCTGAAGCTGCAGGGCCTGGGGCTGGTGGACCTGGGCTGCCTGGGGGAGTGCTTGGGCCTCGAGTGGCTGGACCTTTCGGGCAACGCGCTCACCCAGCTGGGCCCGCTGGCCTCCCTGCGCCAGCTGGCCGTGCTCAACGTGGCCAACAACCGGCTGACGGGGCTGGAGCCCCTGGCCGCCTGCGAGAACCTGCAGAGTCTCAACGCCGCAGGCAACCTACTGGCCGGCCCCGGGCAGCTGCAGTGTCTGGCGGCGCTGCCGGGCCTCGAGCGCCTGCGGCTCCGCGACCCCTCGGCCCGGCTCAGCAACCCGCTGTGCGCCAGCCCCTCCTACTGGGCCTCGGTCCGAGAGCTGCTGCCCGGCCTGAAGGTCATCGACGGCGAGCGCGTGAGCGGGCGCGGCAGTGACTTCTACCAGCTGTGCCGGGACCTGGACAGTTCCTTGCGCCCCAGCTCCAGCTCCGGCCCGCGAGCCGTGGAGGCCCAGCCCTGGGTGGAGCCCGGCTACTGGGAGTCCTGGCCCACGCGCAGCAGCTCCATCCTGGAGGAGGCCTGCCGCCAGTTCCAGGACACGCTGCAAGAGTGCCACGACCTGGACCGCCAGGCCGGGGACAGCCTGGCCCAGGCCGAGCAGGCGCTCAGCCCCGCCCGCGCCACCTCCTTTGTCTTTTGAATGCACCCTGTGGCCGTGGCCCTTGGGGTTGGCACGCTGTGGCCTCCCTGCTTTTCTTCATGGTTTCATCATGCTGGCCACTGGCCCTGCACACGGGCGTCTTATGGGCCCCCTTGCCTAAGAGCAGCCCCCCTCCCTCTCACACCTCCATCCATCAGGGACACAGCTCCCTTGGACCCTCCTCAGGCAGCTGGCACCGTGTGAGGCTGTTCTGCACCTACGCTTGCTCCTGGGAGGAGGCCCGGCCTCCTCGTGTCCGTAGCTGCTGCCACTCCCGGCTGCCTGAGCCTGAGGCTTAGGGGAATAAAGTTGCTTGGCCCCAAGGCTAAAGGTGAGAGGCGAGGACGGCGAGCCTCCTGCCCAGCCCGTCCTGGGAGGGGACGTGGCAGAGCTCGGAGCGTGGAAGCCGCATCTTCCAGGCTGGCCTGTCCAAGTGACCCTGTGCTGTGTCCCCCTGGGGTCTCCCTGAAGCTTCCACTGCCATGCCCACCCGTGCCAATCCCCATTAAATACTCGTGTTTTAATTTGCATCTCTGCCTGTCATTGCGTGTGGGCCCCTGAAAACGAGCCTGGGTCCCTGCTGCCTCTGGCCTGTCCTGGGGAAGGAGGAGCACACAGCTTACTGGGTGTCCTTCTGATGGGAGGCATCGTGCTCGCCCTCACCCTCTCGGGGCTTTGCTTCCTCCCCGTGAGGCTGGAGCACTGGGGCCCTTTCCTCCCGCTGCTCTCAGGAGGGAGGGAAGGAATGCGAGGGGAGGAGAGAACGCAGCTCTAGAGCACTTTTATTAGGGACAATGGGACAGTCCTCCCTGGGCGCAGAGAAGGGAGGGCGGGCTTTCACTTGTTAACCTCCCTCACGCTGCTTCCAGGAAGCCGGGTGAAATTCTGGAGGGAAGGGAAGAGAAACTAAGACTGGGTATGACGGGGGCTGTTTGGGCCCCGCCCCAGCTGTCTTCAGGCTCCCGGCCCCTCTCCTCCTGCCTCCCACAGCGCAGTCGCAGCTCCAGCCTCCTCTCCATCCCTGCCCCACCTGGCTGGCCTCCGCCTAGTCCTTCCTCCCTCCTTCCTGGCGGGCCACCTACCAGTCAGGCCTCAGCTGGGGGGCAAGGCTTTGAAGAACGCGAACTGCCCGGGGAAGTAGTGGCCGTGAGGGTCCTCGCCGGCGCGCTCCACCCTGCTGCACTGGGCCTCCTGGCGCTCCTGCAGCTCCTGCGGCAGCGGCACCGCTCAGGCCGTGCCCCCTCCACGCCCCCATCCCCCAGGCCCAGAGCCCTCCTCGCCCCTCCATGCAGGCTTCCGCCTCCGACCTCTCCCACAGGCCCAGTTTCTGTCCACCAGCTCCCTCCCCAACCTCTGCTCCCTCCTCCGCGCACTCTTACCTGTTGAACCTGTGTCTCTATGGGGCAGTGGACCATCCGGCCCAGGACTTTATCTTCAGGGTCCAGCTTGATGCAGGCCAGGCATTTCCGCTTTCTCTGGGCAGGGGCGCATAGAGCCCAGAGAGGAAACGGGTGAGTGAGGGGAGGGCTGCGGCCCCGAGGGTGAGAGTGGGAGCTGGGGGGCAGCATACAATGGGGGTTCCCCTGGCAGGCCAGGTGGTTCCAGGCTCAGCCCACCCTCAGACCGGGAAATTTCGGAAGTCAAACCATCCTGCAGTTTTCTATGAACCCTGAGTGAGTGTGTGTGCGCACGCGCGCGTGTGTGTAGGTGGGAGTCCTCGTCCAGGTGGGTTCTCCCCACCTGACTTCCACCTGAGCTGCTCTGCTGTCATCTGTTATATTTATTTGTATTTTCTTGTAAGATTTGAACACAATGGTCCTGGTATAAAAGTCTAGAAAACCACTCGTATAATCCAGTCCCTCCCTTAACAGATGGAGGAAACTGAGGCCTTCAGAGAACCTGGGAAGTAACAGGGCTGGTGGTTGGCAGAGCTGAGACTGGACACCAGATGGTTGCGTTCCGGCCCCAGGATCGCCCCCATGGCAGTGACTTTGCCCCCAAGGTGGCTGATGACAATCGAGCCCTGTTAGGAACCAGCCCGGGCTGGGCCATCTCCACTTGAAAACACACAGGAAATGGGGCATTCACCAGGCCTAGGGTGGGGACCACCCGAAGCCCATACCATGGCCTTCTTCCACCGGTGACGCGAAGCCTGAGAGAGGAACTTGGATGGCATGGAAGGTGGACCCACTCTGAAGAGCATGTGTCCTCGGGGGTAGCCCAGCCGTCCCTCCTCCTGCCTGTCCAGGCCCCCAGCCCACCTGCAACCATCACAACCACCAGCCGAGACAGGCAAGTCAGCTGTCAGGGAGGCTGCCCCGCCCTGGGGTCTCCAACCTGAGGCTTCTCGCTAGATCTCCTCCTGAACCCCAGTCGCACACCCCGGCGCTGAGCGCATGCCCCATCACGTGCACGTGCCTTCACTCACCCCGCTGGGCTTGACCTTGCACTCCGCTTTCTTCCAGTCCTTCTTCCGGCAGTTTGTCTGCTGGAGCTTAAACTCCAGCCTCACAAAGGTCCCGGCCGGGAAGGGCTACCCACAGACGGAGGAAGGCCAGCAGTCAGCTGAGCAGGCAGCGCCCTTCCTGGACGTGACCTGTCCCTCCTCCCT